ACATACGCTCATAGGAGGATTGGGAAAAACTGTATATTAAACATTTCATACCTGCTGTAGTCATCAAGTTTACCTTCTGAAATGTTGAACTAGGTTGTGGTTACCATTCAGGAAACTTCCACGTATCAGAGTTGCCAGGTGTACTCGGCAGCAAGGTGCTGGAAAGCAGTGAGTTGATCCATACCAGATTTGAAGGCCTTCTGCAGGAGAGGTTAGGGGCTGGCTATTGGAAATGAGCAGTTGCTGTGAATTTGCATCTTTTCCAACAAGTAAACGGCGTAAGAGCTGGACTGCTGCCGATCCTCAGTGTTTATACCAGTAGAAGACTGGATCTCTTTTTCAAGATACAGTTGTCCCTGGTGCTCAGTTATGTTAAATTTAGATATTTCAGGAAAGTGTTCTGATCCAGGTTCCCAAGAGTCAAAACATCTGCATAACTGCACAGGCGTAATTTTTCTTCGGGAAAAGCGCAGGAAGAAGCCTTGTGGGGTTTGGGGGGCAGGGGGGAGGCTGGGTACAGAACAAACTTTTTGTGAGTATGACTGACGTGCTGTTTGGATTTGGAGTGCTTTTCCAGAGCTACAAATAAATCAAAATGCTAAGATAACTTCAGCACAGTTTAATAATAGTTGCTGTAAATTTTCAGAATGCATCTGAACCATCAATTACATCTTATGTTGCAATCCAGGCTAGCAGCTACCCTGACTGCTAAAAATGATTTTATCGCCTGTTCATGCCTATTCCCTGAAATCTGTTATTAGAGGGCTGGTGCAACAGCTGCAAGGGGAGAGCTTACTCTTGCATGTGCCTGGAGAATCCCACACTTACTACATGTTGCTTGCTACAGTGCTTACTTCAGATACTGCTCCGCTACGGCCCTGACTGTGGCAAACAGAAGTCTGTTGGTGTGATCTTGTCTTGGGGGCTGGAGTGTGTGGCACCACCTCTGTCACCCGTGTTGCCCTGACCTAGAAGAGCTGGAGGCTGATGCTGTGAAAGCTGATGAACAGCAAAAGGGGACTGCTACACCTCCCTGCGCTCTCCCGTGTTCCTCCTCACCCCTTGCGGGGTGGGGAGCTGTTGTGGGGCTGCTACAGGAGTTACCTGCAGCTGATCAGTGTATGTTCCCAGCCCGAGGGGCCCAGTCTCCTGGAAGGGGGGGTAGAGAAGAAAAGGGGGGTGGTGATGTATTCTACCTCACGTTGAAATAATACAGAATTGCTAAGGCAGAAGCATGCTGTGGTTAAAACGGGGCCTGGGCTCAAGGATGTTTGGAATATTCTTGCCACATGAGACCCACATATTCATTTGGCAGAGTTGCTTAAATAATTATTTGCACTGAACACAAACCAATTTTGAAGCCAGTAATTAAATACAATTCAAATTTGAACGAATGGGGAAAATGGGAATCGGAATGTGAGAGTAGTGGCAGGCTGTGCCAAGATACTCATGTAAAACTACTTTCCCCTCACCTCACATAAATTGCCCTATCTCCTGGTAACCTGATCATGGCTACTTTTTAGCTGAATGTTGCTGGCTGGGGACCAGAAGTATTCTACAGCTGTTTTGCCTCTCCAGGCAGATACAGTCTCAGTTCAGGGGGTAAAGTCTGCTATAGGCACATCTATAAATTGGTACAGCTACTCCTATATTGTATCTTCAAAAGCAAAACAGAAATAGCCATATGCTGCTGAGACTTAAGCTGCTCATTGTAGCAGGAAAGGAAAAAATGGTACAGCAGATTTATAGTTGCAGGTACGAGGGTTTAATAGAACTAGCAGCAGTAACTTAATGGAGACCAAGAGTTTTGCAGGCTTCTGCAACTGCTTCCACAACAGCCAAGACCCGACCTCCGGAGGAAGCTTGCAGTTGGCTTCAAAAATAGCTGCGTGGAAAAACTTTGCCTTCAAGTAAGGTACGAAGCAGTTACAGGCTCAGCCTGGATACGCTCCCTTCCCGGAAATTCAGAGTTAAGCCTTGCTCCTAAACAACCCAAGAATTCTCTGGAACAAAAGCAGGCTTTCACCTCTGAGGTTCGGGGCTGAAGTAAGATCCTTTAGGTGGAAGAAGTTCCTTGAATGGGGTGGCTTTAAGGAGGTGATGTCAAGGTCCTACGGGCTCATCTGGATTCATTTGCTAGAGCCCCCATCCATTTCCTCTAATGGCTCCTGCACAGCTGGTAGGTGGAGACGGTGGGGGGGGGTTTTCAGAGAGTTGACTGAGCAGCCATGACAACAGAGTTACACTTGGCATAAATACGTGGCTGGAGTGAGGAAAGCAACTATCCGAGTGGGATTTTTATCTTCAAATATTTTGAAGTTTCTAGCAACGTAAATCTTAAATTTAGTTTTTGTTTATGTTAGCAGTGAAAGCGCCTGAGGGATCCAATGCGTGAAGTATTCCCAGAACTTTATTATCTAAGAAGCTATGCAAAACACTTAAGTTTGTGAAAGGGATGTTTAACTGGTTTGATAAAGTATGTCAAGGATGAGGAGTTTATAGACTTAACACGTTTGTTATAAAATAGATCCTTTTGGTAGGACAAAGTGAATTTTAAGAAATGAAGGGCAAGTTAGCAAGAATGTTGTGAAGGTTTGCATTTGTGTGGTGATTTTCTTTAACCCTTTAAGGAATGGTTGCATATTCTTTCAGACTTAACACACCGTTGACGATTTAATCACTTCAGAGCATAGAATACTAGGTGAGTGGCCTTTCTCAGAGAAGAATCTTGCCGATTTTAACTAAATATTAAAAATAATGCCAAATTACACCAAAGTTAGAGGTCACTGCGGTAGAGGCTTGCTTTGTTTCAGCTGCTAGCCAGGGGTAGTACTGTCATCTGCGTCAGCTCAGGGACCTGTGGTATGACCAGATACTTGAAATACTTAATTGGAATGGGTCGCTTGACTTTTTTCCTATGTATTAGTCAAATTATAAACCCAAAGTCAAATACACTTTTCTGCTGGGAATTTACATTCTGAGGAAATTAACTTTGCAGATTCCTGTGATACTACGCTGCCATTATGATTCAGCGATAAGGTGACATCATACAAATACAAGTCTGGAGAATCAGTTCACAGCTGCTCCTTTAGAGAACAGTTGCTTTCCATAGCCAAGTAGTAAACAAGGCACCAGGCATGTGTGGTGGCCATCTCCATGTTCCTTCTGAGCCAGGTATGTGAAGCAGGGCGAGTACTTGGGGCCTAGGGGTTTTTTCTGTAGGTATATACACCCCCACATGTATTTTGTGTATATGTATATTACATATATATATATACACCCATTTATTTGTATTCCTTCTCTTCCTCAGAGAAATGCCATTCAGCTACTCAATTCTTTTAAGCCTACGTTGTTCACTGACTTGATATTTCAGATTCTGATGAACAGTAGAAGCATTAACTCATCCCACTTCCCACTTTCAATACAGCAAAACAACAGGAACTGTCCCTGGGTACAGCTGACACTTCAACCTTAAATACTCTCAAAACAGGTAGCGCAGCGAGCCAAGAGGGGAAGTGTAGGACTGCTTCCATCTTATACAAAGGAAACTGTTTTGAAGTCGAGCCAAGCGTGACAAAGTAAGGATGTACAGACTGCGCTTTTATTTTTCACTTCCAGCTTTGTAAAAGCTTGGTGAGAGGTGCGTCTGCTTTCAGGAGGACATAGATAACTGATCAATACATCAGCTTCATTTCCTGCTTCAGTGAATGCTTCCATGGTGACCTGCAATTTCCCATAGTTCTCCAGCTATAGAATTGATCTAATGACAGTGCCAGCTCCCTTTAATGTTCAAGACCATGAAAGGCCATTTGTAAACTCAATTAGAGAAGTAGCTCAGTAGGCTTAACAGTGCTGGTAGGGATCATAATGCAACAAACAGCAGAAAACACACACCCCCTTTTGGCACAGAGGGGCAGCAGGCTAAAGCTGTGCGGGCCCTCCGCAACGTGGGGGACCGATGGTAGCAGGTCAGGGGCTGGAATGGCGCTGATGAAACATAAGCCATATTAAAGTACGTGTTAGTGTATCCACCATCCTTACTGAATTCTTGCCGGTGCAAATTCCACAGTAATCATAAAGGACTGAAAAAGAATTAAGCAAATAAATCAATACTTTCCATATTCTCCTAGAAGGCTCTGCACACTTAATCTGGTTATAAGAGGAAATTTCATTGATTCAAATTCTTCCTTTCCCTCTTGTTCTTATAAACAGACTGCTCCTCAGTCGAACAATAAAAATTCAAGTAACACTGTTACTTCTGACATCGTATGAGCTTTGGATTTCATCTTTAAATAAGAAGCATTCAAGGTAACAAAGACTGAGTTGAATCCTGGTAATCCGCCTGTTATCTGTGCAGTAAAATACATATCCAGCAGCTGAGCACGTGGACACTACACCCTGGAAAACACTTCCAGAAGCACAGGCTTTTCTATAGAGCCCAGCACAGGCGTTGGAACAGCTCAGTCTTGCACATAGGTCAGCCTGAGACCAGTACACACACCCACAGAGGAAGAGTCCCCCACTCCCCGCAACACTGAATTTGGGTAAGACAAGATGGTTCTAGTCATACGCTGTACTGTCTTTGTGTACTTACCGCAAAACTGAGTTCTGTCTTGATTTCTTGGACACTCATTTGTTAGCTACTTTGTCACAGATGCACAGGAAGTAATTATTAAATTTGGCTGATACTATGAAAAAAAGCTTGGTGTTGCCATTAGCTGAAACAGCAGACATATAATACAATTGGAAAAAAACCCTAAATGTAAAAAAAAAAAAAAAACCAAACTCATAAAAGGCAAAATATGAAGGGAACTGGTAGATGGATACCAACAGTATGCAAGCCTGTTCTTGGAAATGTCCCTTTAAGTTCTAAAGTGTGATTAAGGCTTGTGTAAACTTGATCCTACCAGACTGTTCTTGGGGGGGGGGGGGGGGGGAGGGGGAAATTAGAACAAATAAATTAGAAACTAATTCAAATGAATAACAAAGACGATGTCTGAGCCACTGTTTTGCTGGGTGGGATTCCTTTAACTTAAATTCAGCTACCCAAATGTTGAGTGTCTAGACATCTATACGTTCCTTAGGCAACAGACAGAAACAGGCTCCTCAGAAAGTGGTTCACGCCACCCGCCTTAGATAATTGTCCTAGGTAGGATGGTTTGCCCTCTGGGGATGCCAGTCCATGGGCCTCCATGGTGTCTAGACTGCTAATTTTTAGATGTCTGAAGATAAATGAAATTCATCTAAATCACCTGGCCATATAATACGGAAATAAAGTTTGCCGTACCTGCATATTAACACATGAGTGCACAGGCCACAAGTTGTGTGCTGTCCCAGTGCTCTGCCATGATTCGGCACATCCACCTTCTGACAGCTGCTGAAGGCACAGCAAACATCTTATTTTAAACTGTCTCAAGCAGAGCTGCCTCCTTTTTCTCTTGACATTGCCGCTCCTGCTTGTGAGCTTCTGCCCAGGATTTCTCTGCCTCTGCCAGAGCCAGAGATGCCGCCACTAAGCGTGAAGCACAGATCTGCTTTCTGCTGGGAAGCGCATAGCTTTGGCCTCAGCTGTCAGAGGTCCAGAAGACAAGATGAACATTGCTATAGCCCTGCCTCCAGCATGTGAGAATTTTCCTCTGTACAACACTTACAGTAACCCATTAAAGAAAGACATTTCCTAGACACTTGTTCAGTTGGGTAGCTTCTTCAAGAAATTCTGCACTAGACGTCTAAGCGGGAACACAGCTGCAACGTCCCCTGCTGCCAGGGACTGAGGGTTACTTGGGTATGACTGGAACCCTTTGTACTGGCTACCTCGGAAGTGATTCACAGCACTACAGGTGCCAAGACCAGAGGAACTGGAACCGTACAAGTCTCAGTTACCTAAGGTGTCAGAAAAGTCTTAGTATGTGCTTCAGGGACCAGGAAAGCCTCTTCTCTCTTCCCTGTACACTAGAAAAGCTAACTACAGCGTGAAAATTCTGTTAGAGTAAGTTGGCTGTCAGTCTTCCAGTTATTACAAGCTGCTCATTTAAAGTCATCTGTCTTTTGGGAGAGTTTTTTGGTGGGCTTTTGGTTCTGCATCTCATCCTCCCACCTCCAAGGACGGGTTGTGGATTTTTGTTGGTTTTTTGGTGGTTGCTTTTGGTTGGTTTTTTGGTTTTTGCTTTTTTTTAAATTGTCATGGGAAGTTTCCACAAACAAAATAAACACATGTGATTATTTGGCAACCTCAGTGATTGTGCAACTCTAACCGCAGCCTGTGCTGAAGCTTTCCAGAAGGTATTGATTAATAGCCTACAGAAAGTACTCTGTAAAAGCAAAGCAGCTTTGTAGCAGTTTACTTAAGACAGGAATTGAATGAAGGCATGCCTGGCCCAAAACCTAGCTCTTCAATGAAGAGATGAACAATGAAGATTAGCTTTTAGCAATAAAAGTTTAATTCTGTAAGACAATTCTGGCCCTAATTTGTTTCCAAGTCAAACTGTTGGCCAGGACTTCAACCCTTCTAATTGTAAAATTATGTGTTTATATTCTTCTGTTTTTAAATTAAACCACTCAAAACCAAAACCAGATTATTTTCACTAGCCTTCCTACTATGAAGGAGGAGAAAGAGGCTGTTGTACATGTTGGAGATAGTATCCTATTATCAATCAAGCAACAATGCCTGCCATTTTACAATCAAGTAAGACACATTTTCTGCTCCAAGGACCTTGCAGATCAGACAAAAAGGGTCTGACATGAATTAGAGGAGGCTGTATTCTCCTGTTGTGAGTTAACGGCTAAAAAAGGGTAAGTCATTAGAATCTGAGTGAAAAACATTGACCTAATCTGTATTATTCTATTTTTGTAGATAAAGTGATTTTGTTTGCCACAGTAATGACTACACATGCTTTCAATGATCTAATTAAACATAAGAAAATAAAATGGTTACAAACAGTACAATAGTTCAGCAAAATATGTTAGTGCGTTATTATTAAAAACAACAACCATTAAATTTAAAGTAATAGTAAATATGATTTTAAAATACAGCTGGAGATCTGAACAACTTTGGGTAGCAGTATTTTAGGTCCTGTACAACTCAATAAGAAATCATCCTGTCCCAAAGCAGCTTAAATTTTATTCAAGTCACCCCCATTGCGAAAGGGCTAAAAAGCCTGAGTGAGTGTTCCCCCTTACATAGGTATCAGTGAGAACATGCTACATGAAATTCAGGTCTCCCGATACACAATTTGTAGCCCACCTCTTTGCCCACCTCCTTGTCCACTATGCCTTCTCACACATTTCTTGAAAATAACATCAAAACCAAGAATGTACGAAATCAGTAAGAAACACTACATCACTTCAACTGGTATAAAGAAATGGAACATCCCGCAAAAGCACAATTGAAGGTAGCTGCTAATGTTCATAGGCAATTTAGACCAAAGACGGTGAGCAATTGAAAAAATGCAATTCTTTTTTTTACTGAGAATCACTTCTATGTAAACACTATAGATGTTATCAACCTTTTGCTTATGTACAAGCTTGCATTGCAGTTGCCTGATGTGAGCCCTGCCTTCTTCTCTGATCACAGCACTATTTGACTAACTGGACAAAGCAGCTTAGACCCATGGTGTAGATACACCACAGCAATTGAGAGAGGTGGTCAAGGCATGTTTTTCTCTGCATGGTCCATTCAAACTTAACTTTCCACATAACTCCACTGATAGTTTCTTGTATAAGCAGCAGCATTATCTGCAACTGCAGCCATGGAGTCCTGGTCTTAAGGTGAATGACTTTCTGTCTCTCGATTATGTCTTTCATGATATTTTTTTTTCCCCTATTTTTTTTTTTACTGTATATTTTGCTTGATTTTACTGTTACCATTTCCAAACTCTGCTTTTACAGTTGGGTAGATCAATAGCTCTTGCATATGCACTGAAAAACAATATCCTTTCCCCTGCCCTATTTAAAGACAATGGAAATTGAAACACTCATGGGCAAAGCAAGTGTCTCTTTGGGCATTAATTATGAATAAGTGAGCGCAGAGGAAAAGAAAGCCAAAATAGAAGACCCAAGTTAGAAATATGGAAACCCAAGTAATGAAGTAGCAAGACCATAAATAATGTACCTATTTTTAAGCACAAATCTGACACATTGTTTCTTTTTGTTTCTTTCCTTCCCTGTCCCTTCCAGCAATACAATTTTGTTATAGGGCAACACCTAATTACCTTATATCCATAACTCAGCTAATGCTTGTAAGGCTCTTTTGCCTTGCACAAACCATGAACAGCCTACAGACTGAAAAAGCAGCAAGGAACGCTCCTAGAAAGAGTTATGGGTTAAGGCTCCTGCAAGTACACATTAATTCCCCTGATGCAGTGACCGTAAAACATAACAGATGCATGAAGATGAGAGGCACGAGTCTGTATGAATCATAGGCAGAAAACCCAGTGCATCCAGGTATACACCCAGGGAAATGTTTTTTACTGCCTGAACAGCACAGTCTTCATCTGCAAGGACCATTTAACAGAAACTCAGCTAAGTAATAATAAAGAGACTCCAAATTTTTGTAGCTCATCAGGAGAGTGAACAAGTTGAGCACCTCCATTAGAGTATCATCAAAAACAGGCAAACATGCCCCAAAAGCAATCTGTACCCACCATCAAGTGCAAGTATTCTTAACAGGTATGTCTTCGCTGAAATTCAGAAATAGGCATGCTGGAAGTTAAAAATGTATGTCCCTGGAAAGTCAAGATAATTTTGACTAAAATCACCACCTTGAATTTGTGCATAAATATGCTTAGGTCCTGCAAACCCAAATGAGACATCATTCCTCTTTCCTTTTTAGTGCTAGAAAATAGCTAACAATAATTCTTCCTTCCCAGATGGTCAAGGACAGCTTCCCACAAGAAAAAAAGAATGTTAACTTTTGCTTAGACAGACTCGCGTGAGAATGGGACATGTACTAGTCATAGTTCAGTACAGCATGGCAGATACAGACAGCAGAGCCAGTTTAGAGCAGTTCTAACTCTACTGAAAGTTGGAACAAAGCAGAGTTATCTGTCTTGAAAGAGTGGAGATGGATGAAGAGCAGTTTCATATTCTCTGATGCATCTTCAAAACTGATAGTAAACTGTCACCAGTGCAAGGAAAGTCAAGACTGGTATTTATTAGTACCTTGGCTCTGCTTGAGAGGGTGCTGCTTAAAGCAGTCTGTTGATTTAGCAGTGCCTGTATAGCCAGAACCTTCAGGTACAGAAGTGAGAAGACACTGAAGGACAATTTTCTCTGAATAGATTGGTGGAAAAAGCCAGAGGGAATATAGCATTACAAGAGATTCTTCTTAAACTACAACCTCCTCTGTTCTATTGTTACAAAATGAGCAGCACATCTGGAGTTCAAGCAACAATGTTGGGGCCACCTCCGAACAGTCAGATACAGGGACAAGCATAAGGTTAGGATGATAATTATATAGAAGCAGCAATATGGGCTCTTTAGCATGTATTGTTTCAAATGGAGCTATAAGAAAAAGGTGAACTCAAACAAGTGTGCCGTTATGACAGTTTGCAGGCCAAATACTTCACCAGTCCCAAGTTCTGGAGGTTGCAGAGAAAGGACGAGTTTTTGCCTAAGGGTAAAGGAATAAATAAAAAGGGGAAGAGAACAACCTAGAGGGACAGGTGTATCCCTGACAATAAAAATTATTAATTTATTTAAAAAAATAAATGTTCTTAATTCAAAGAAGGTCATGACTATAAGCATTCTTAGCTTCTCTAGGGTAAGGATCAAAGGAAAAAAAAAACACCACAGACTCCCACATTTTAAGCTGCGTGACTATACAACTGTACTGTCTATAGGTTCTGCTAAGACTAAAAAATCCTAAATTTTCAAGTATTTCTAGTATAAACTGCACAAAGTTTGAGCAGATGTGTAGACTGAAATTCACAGATAAGACAGAAATACTACACTACAGTATACTTACTTGGAATTTCTCTCCTGTTTCCCTATTTGTTATTCCCTTAGATTCTGTCTCCAATTCAAATCTTCTGTAGGGCAACTACAGTGTTTAGCTAAAGAGTAAAATACTATTATTAGGAGACCAGTAAGTACTACCAGCTGAGAAAAGTAAGTATTTGGTTACATGCCCTTTCTCATATCCATTTTGTCAACTTGTTTTGTTACCCAGATTAATACTAAATTTGTCCTTGCTGACTGCAGCTCTAGCAGTAGAAGTTTTCCAGGCAACTCCTGAATTCAAGATTCATCTACTTAAAGTTAGCTACTACTATCTGCCAAGCAGATCATCAGACCACTACATCCCAAGTAAAGAAACTGCACAAAACAAAGTAGGGAGGAAACTTGTTTCAGAAAGCCTGCAAGTTTTAATATAAGATGACCACAGTATTAATCAACCCCTAATGCAACAGTTTAAATCTGTGCAGGAGGAAGAGGCTTTGCTACAACACTACTCTGAACAGAATAATATTTAACATGGAAAGCAACTCACTCCCATAAAGAAGCCCTTCCTTATAAAAGGTAGTGATACAATTTTAGCTGTAGTGCTCCTACCATAGGTCTTGCCTTGTCCAAACCACTCCTTGGCAGTGCATTCCCAAATATATTCCTGTACCTTGCTTTTATGTGGATAGACTACCACCATTTTCAGAGTTGAACTAGCAGGAGTGGACACTTAGAACAAATCAATTTACACACAGATGCCTTGTTATTCAGCAGTGACAGCTACTCCTTCCCACCAAGTACTGATGTGTTTCTTAAAGAGAAAAACTTGAGTAGGTGGATCAAAACCAAAACAAAACCCCAAACCACGGAAGAACTCAGCCACTTCAGTTTGGTTTTTTTTAATTTGTATTTCAAGTGTTTGCTCTGTGAAAGGCCTAGTCTCTAAGTTTCAGGAATGACGTAATTTTTTTTTTTTAAATCAACTCCTTGCTAACAGCAAACTCTACATGATCCTTTTCTACCATATTGTAGAGATGTGCTCACATGTGAGGAGAGCAAAACGCTAAGCTGTAACAGAGCTCAACAGAAAACACTTTACACAGTCATGCAACTTATTAGTGGATGCATAACAAACTAGGAAAAAAAACACTACTATAGCAATGCAGTATTACACTTCTAACTCCCTGTATTTCATTCTGGAATAGATTACTGCTATAAATAAAAGAATTTAAAAGCTGCAAGCCAACCATCTACTTCAGAAGGCAAGGAATGCTGCCAAGAGAGAATGACGACAACATTATTCTACCACTTCACTTACAAAAAACAAGCATTAGAAGAAATGAATTAAACTAAAACACAGCTTTCTCTCCAATTACAGCAACATGCGACTTTATATATAACCTTAATCCTCCCATTAACCCGCTTAATCAAAGGGAAGAAAAAAAGAAGTTAACTCCTGGGGCTTCCCCCCCCCCCTTTTACTCAGTAAAAACCCAGAAAGAGAAGCAAAAGCATCCCCTGTGCTCCTTTCCCTGCTGATTGGCCTCTTGTGTATCACGCATTTCAAGCCCTTTCAAGTCATAACCTCTTCTTACAGGCCTCCTTTCTGACTGTGGAAAGCTCAGAAAATGCACTTACTCCTCAGACAATAGATGTATGGAAACCCTTTTTATTTTACACTTATTGAAAATACTTCTCTCCAACTGGCTGTTAGATCTGAAGACCTGCTCAGGCTATATAGAGAGCTAACTTTTACCTACAGAAAATATATTTTGCTACATACAGCACCAAACCAAGACCTTCAGACCTTTCGTAACAAAAATACAATTAATAACATGATAGAGAAAGCTATGATAGTAGAAATATTTAAGGCAGAAAAAAGTTTCTAAGATCCCATAGTTAAAAACTGGTTACTCTCATACTTGCAATTGCTGCCAGTGCTCCATTTGTTTCACCTTGCATGTATTGTTTTTCCTTTGTTGCATTGATTTCCTCACACTTCTTACTTCACAGCTTCTTAAGTGAGGCAGTGTGACATCAAGCATACATACCTCATCTATCCACTGCTTCCTTGTGACTCTGAACAAGGCAAGCACCTGGGTCATGATTCTCTTGACAGAAAAATCATTTCCTACAAGGGCCGCAAATTTTCCTCAAGAGCCTGTTTTCAAAGCTAGCTTCCAGTCTTGGACTGTTGCAAATCTTCCACCTATGTGACTGTATCATCGAGAAGGCCAAGTTAAGATTCAGTTTTGCTCTAATCCAACAAGCATGACAGCTGTTCTTCTATTCTGAATGTTACACCAAGCATGCAAGTTTTAGGTAAGACCACACATAGAAACTTGGTAACAAACTGAGCCATGAAAAGAAACATCTCAACTGTTCTGCTTTCTGCTTTGTCTGCTATGGTTACCAACAGCCCATAAACACATGAAAAAAAACATACACAATGAGAACAGCTAATGCTCACAGCAAACCAGAAATAGCAGCATGGGAAACATAACTTGCAGTTAGTACTTAAAGTGAGCTATCAGTAGGGACAATCCAGACCTTCTAAAAACAAAGCAACATAGTTTATGCTGTAGTCTATTGAAATCAGTAGTGATATACTATCCCGATCTACATAATCTTCTCTTAGCAAATGCTTAAAATAGGACTTCATGACCAATTAAAAAAGTTAGAAAAACATTTTTGGACTGCTACAAAAGACTCATTTTTTCAGAACTACAGGGAGAAATCAGATTAATTTTAGTCTACAATGCAGCAATTTTCCTTGTTGTTCCTGAATACATGATATGAAAGCATTTAATTCCAGAAACCATGTACTTAAGCTAAAATAAAGACTACTTCCTCAAAACATGTTCCTTTGTCAAATTTAACATTTTCAGGTTTTCTGCTTATACCTTCTAAGGGGCAAAATAAATCACTCCAAGCAAATAAGCAGGAACAGTTTATTGTGACACTGGCAGCTTTTCCTTTCTCAAGTAATACGGAATTCTCTATTTTTTTTTATCTGCCAATTTAAATATTTCATCTATACCTGCAACATTACTTTATAAGATTTCTTTGATATCTGCATCTTTTCACCTGATTTAACACAAAAACATAAGCAAAAGAACAAACTCTTGGAAACATAAGGAGTAGTAACGTGGCAAATGTATTCTTTAATAGAAAGTAAGAAAAACCTCCCTACTGACCTTTATTCAGAATGAGGAGATACATATCCACAGCTCTTTGTTCCATTTGGTAGGATTTTAAGATCCATCTATGCATGTATAAGCACAGAATACACAGTTTTATCCACACTGGAACCATCTAAACAGAGATTTTATGTTCCATAGTTTTTACATGCATTCCATCCTTGGTGTGCTGATTATAGTACAGGGATTCTGTTCTTCATCTACAGCAGTTTCAATTTAAGAATACACCATAAGCCAACTTAGAGAAACATCCATTAGTTGCTAATAGAAAGAATCACAGGAGGGTCTCACAACAGTTTACTAAAACATTAAGGTGGGTTTTTTTTAAGTCACAGTTTTCAAATATAAAAATTGGATTTTCCCTATAACTGAAATATATTTACATGAACATTTTAAAAAGATGGTCTGTAATTTAGATCTAATCGCTGTCATCTGAACCACCTTCAGATCCCTCATCGTTGGATCCTTCTGGTTCAGATTCGTTACCAGATCCTCTGCCAGAACCCTCATTGTCAGATCCTCTCTCAGAATCTCTGTCTGAGTCAGCACTGCGAGAAGCTGGGCGAGATTCATTTTCTGAACCACCGGAACGACTTCTCCCTGACTGTACAGACTCGTTGTCAGACTGCTCTGAATCTGACCGCCTCCTTTTTCTAGCAGACCTGTCACTGTCAGAATCTTCCTCAGATGGGTGGACACTGGACCTCCTCGGACTACCTGCCTCGCTACCAGATTTGTTTCTGTTATCAGAATCACTATCAGAAACAATGCGTTTACTGTGCTGTTGTTCCCCATCATCTGAATCGCTGTTGCTGTTCCTAGCATGTCTGTAAGGAAAAGAAAACAAAAATCCAGTATTAAAAGATGCTATCCTTAGCTTAAAAATAAAATGAGATACTAGGATTTCAGTAATGCTAGCTAGTTATCAGAATGAGAAGAACGAGTTGCATTGGTTTGCAATGGAAAGTCATGTTGTGAGTATAATGAAAAGCTTCTCGTTATCTTCGCATTAACCCATTATTAACACTGTAGTTTATTTTGAAAGCATGCATTGAAACTTTAGTATATAAAAAGTTAATTAAGGTTCTTACCCATCATCAGCAATTTTGAGTTTGTCCTCATCAGAAGAATCATCACTTGACGAAATGATGGCTTTTGATTTGATCTTTCCTTTCATTGAAGGAGGCAGACGTTCTGGTTTGGGCTGTATAAAGGAAAAACAAAGGGTTGCTTGTTCATGTGGCTAGTTACAGCATAGGGCCCAAACGCAGAAACATAGTCAGGAAAGCAGACATGCTTTTAACAGTTTAAAGTCATTAGATCAAGATTTTCCTTTTACTGTCACTTAATTCTACATGGCTTTGGGAATATCCTTTTCATCCTTGAAGCTGCTATAGCGACAGGGGAGGAGGACATAAATAAGCTCAAAGGCAGTTTTCTACAAGAAGTTTTGTCGTAATTTTCAACGTTAACAAATCTCTCTCGGCTAGGATAATGCTGAGTCCAAACGCATTTTTAGAAAGTGATGCAGTTATTCAGGGTTTAACTTACAGCCTTCTTTTTCTCTGCTTTGAGTGGACGTCGTTTCTTAGGTCTCGGACCATTTTCATGTTCTTCATCATCACTCCCCTCATCTGCCTTCTGGGGTCTGAAACAAACATTTTATATGATGTAAAGCATAACATCACAAAAAAAAACTTACACATGCTAAAATATCAGTCTCAAGAAATGTCTAGCTGATCAAGTGTTGCTCGTACTTCTTTTGCAGAGTGCTGTTTAAATTTTATAATGTGCATGTGTAAATAAAAATTAATCATGTGACCTCTTAACAACAGTTCATTTTTTAAGTTGTTATGGAAGACTGCATGAGAATATACTTAAAAGCCATACTTTAATGTTAGACTTCCCTGAGAAATAGTATCAGTTACCTCCTCCTCTTCTTCTTCTTTCTCTCACCCTCCTCTTCTTCCCCATCTTGTTCACTACCACTGCCCTTCCTCTTCTTTTTCTTTCTAGACACGGGCAGATCTTCATCACTGTCATCATTGACGAATTCATCAAATTCCCCTGTTCCTTTTTTTGAACGCTATGATAAATAAAATCCCCACAATATAGCCCATTAGTCGCCTTCCAGTTAAGAAGCTAAAAGAAAACAATTCAAAATAGAAACTTTATCTAAACACATTTTTGAAGATACAGACCTTGTGCCAACTTTCACATAATCTCTAGATTGGTGTCATTAAGAAACTGATTCCAAATTTGCACATAATAAAAAAAACCTTCTTCTGTTATTTTAACAATTGAATAGACAGATTTTGGTTATGCCATTGGGCTTGAAACTTAGTATTACCTTCCAATTTTTACATTTGAGTACTAAACCTGTGCAATTTCACTCCGTGAAGCCTAGAGGCTTGCAACTAAAAACCTGTACTACTGCAAGAGACCATATGTCAGAAGGGGAAAATGAAGGAGATTTAAAAAAAAAAAAAAAAAAAAAAAGAAATTCTGTTCTACCCTGCCTCCACCGCCACCACGTTTTTTCTCCTTTGATCCTTCTACTTCACCAGTAAACATCAGGATATTCTTGGTTTTCTCCACATATTGAGCTCTTTGTTCCAGAAGTTTCTTCTGTTCTTCTTTTTCTCTTAGGCGCTTCTCTTCCTGAAACAGAGAGAAAACTAACCATTACTACTGTATTTGCAGCATCACGGTGATTCTAATCGCAGGCATATAAGTTATTTGATGACAAGAAACCAGAAAACTGACTTTTGACAGCAGAAGGTACATGTGGCAAAAAAAAAAAAAAAGTTTTCTACAAGCCTGTGCTACAGTAGGCGAAAGTCCACCAAGTGCTTCCTCATCCAGCCTGTCAGTACAGAAATTTCATGGCAGACCTTCTGGGGCACAAATTTTATTTGCTGGCACTTACTATAACTGGCACTTATTAACTAGGAAAATAGACATTTTACCAGTAACACCAGGTACCACCAGAGAGTAACAGGGCAGATACAATACAGTATATTGTATGTTTTCAAAAAGTGTATGTATCCACTTCTTTTTTTTTTTTTTTTTTTTTTTAAATATAGCATACAGAATGTAACAGAATAAAACCTGTTCTTTAAGTAGTTTTTGGCGAAGCAGCTCCTTTTCTTGCTCTTGCTTCGCACGCAGTTCCCTCTCTTCTTCATCCTGCTTGCGTGCCCGAGCCACATGATACTGGGCTTGACTCAGTAAGTCAGAGCATTGCCTGTAACATGCAATGTTTTCAAGTAAAGGAAGGTGGCAGACACATACTACAAGAAGAAACAGGCTTATAAAGGGCATGGATCACAACACTACATTCATATCACCAGCAAAGAAAGAAAAGCTACTTGAAATAACACAATAGAAGAGTAAAGTAGTATAGATTTTTGAGTAAAGCACCTTCTAGTAAGCTAATTTATCTTTAAAAATTGCAATATACAGTTTCAGAACACATTGCTTCACACTTAAAATTTAGCCAATTCATATACAAAAACCCCCACATGAACAGAAAAGGAATCATACCAATTAATTTGGACAGCTTCAGAAGTATGGTGAAGAACTTGTATTTAATCACAACATACTGGCAAACTTATTCAGAAAAGCAGGCAGACATTCTATCTTAAGAAAACCGATTGTGTAAGAGTTAAGGTTGTATAAAGTATTCAACTCATGAAACATTAAAGCAAGACGCTTTCAATACCCTCTTAACTAATGTTACAGTGACATTTCTTTGAATATTACGATTAAAACCTTCTTCTCTGTACAAAATGCTTTAGTGATACCCATTTAAGAAGTACAGTGTATGACGGTCAACAGATGTTATTTGTACATGGCTATGAAAATCTAAGAGGAATGGGCAATAAATGAAACACAGGGCATACTAAGTGAAAACCTAAGAAATAAGCTTACAAGGAAACTGATCTGAATAGGCTTGTGTACAAACTCATGAGCAAAAGTTAAAGCAGACTAGATTCCACAAAACAAACGTTTTTCATGTGTCAGTAACTGACCCATGCTATTTACCCAGGAACTACCTCAAAAAATATCCATGAAAGCAAACCTGTTGTTACATTATGTTTAAAGTCAAAACAGTGAGAGCTAGAGATATTTAAACAAAGATCACTGCCCTCTCATTGATGAAAAATTTGCCATTAAACCAGCTAAAGTTTTGTAGGCTCCAGCTAATGGCAGACACCACACACAGAGTTTTAGACTACACAAAAACATTAGAAAGCGAAGACAGGAAAAGAATGAAGCAGTAACATGGAGTAACCCTGCACTTGTATTTCTACTGTTCTAAGAAACTGTCAGTTGAAATTTTGCAATCCAGTTCTAGTATGAAAAAACAAGACAAAAATATTCCACTTGGTATCTGACTGAAGGATTTGTTTGTGGTTTGGTTTTTTGTTTGTTTGTTTTTTACCTTGCTTCTGTAGCAGCAAGTGCCAAGTCAAATCTCATCTTATCACCTACTTTACTCAAGTAACTGAAGTACCTGGAGGAAAAAAAAAACAAAACACCACAGAAAAATCTAAGCAAATATGTCATTACTTACACATTTATTGTAATTTTGCCTCAAAATAATGCATTTACTCCTGAATTACAATCCTATAAAACTCCAGGAGTAAAACTCCCTTTCTTGGGAGGAAACCTCACCAATTTTCTCTGTGTGCAGCCCCTTTTAATACAACAGTATAAAAGTACATTCAGAGTTCTCCAAATCTAAAACATTCTATAACCATTATAGGGTGGAACAAAAACTAGCATAAGAAAAGGAAGGAAAACTCATTTTTTAAAAATCCTTCCAGAACAGCGTGCTTAAACCTAGTTGGCAGGTCCTTGTGAATACAACATGCCTTCAAGTAGATGGGTAAATTATGATAATCAGTGTTTTGAAAACAGTTTCTCAAAATAATTTAAAGGAAATCAACTTTCTAACTTTCAAGGTTGCCACAGTTTCTTCCCATAATCCATCAGTAACATTTTAAATTAAGTGTTTCTGTGCTAGACTGAACTCAAATTCTTGGGCATATTAAGAAAATAATTCCTTGCTCAAGTTTTAGATTATGGAAAATATTTTCCAAAATGTGATAGACATCTGAATTTTTGGTTAATAGGTACAAAATAAAGGCTTTCATGCTACTTTCTCGAGACAATAAATAACAAGTTTCTAAAGGAATTTAAGTTAGAATTGTGTTTGAACACTGAGTTTGCATTATGCAAAGCACTATAATTGTGAAATGCTTGCTTGTATTAAAGGCTTGCCTTAGTTGAAAGGCAATGTCTATCTTTGACATAACAGCAGAGCTACAAATGCATAAAGCAAGCACCAGCTACACCAGCAATACCTAGGAGCAGAATAAAAGGTTACAAGCCTTCTGTTCAAAGATAGTGATGACGGGATCAGATTAAATGGACTGTTTTCTGCCCAGTTTTGTATTGGTTTGTTTTTTTTTTTTTTTTGTTTTTTTGTGGGTTTTTTTTTTGAAAAGAGAAGTAAGAGATCTCAAAGGCCCTTAAGCTGCTTCTGTTCTTAAGCCATGAGAGTGCTAGGCATTTACTTGACAACAGGAAGGCAAAATTAGTTTTCAAGTACTACCAGTCATTAACTAGGCTTATATAATATCAATAGATTTGCTTTCAGGCCTTAGATGTTGTTTTGAAAGAAATCAAAGAAGTATTAAATTTGTAGAATTCAGTATTTTTTCTAGCCTTAGATGTTGTTTTGAAAGAAATCATCAAAAAAGTATTAAATTTGTAGAATTCAGTATTTTTTCTTCAACTATGCTCTTCCAGGAAGAAGTACATCTTGGTCACACTAACAAAAAACCCTTTGAGAAACACATATTGGCCATCTGGCCAAACAAAACTGGCTCTAGAGCAAAGTCTGAATAAGTAGTTTTGTCAGGCCCAATATTTGTTTTCCTACTAGAAACTCTAGAATTACATACAGTGTTTCATAGGAGATGATTTATCTTCTAACCAGATTTGTGACCAACACTGCAAATTTACTGCAAGGGAATGACAAAAAAGATTATAATACTTAGAAATAAATAATCTTTACCTGTGGGCTAGCTCCAGTTCTTTCACAGCATTAAGCACCTCCTTTAGATTGCTTTTTTCATCTTTCAGGACAGAGGTAGCTAGTCTTTGTAGCACTAAAGCCACATTAAACATAAGGACTGTATCACTTGGCGCTACATGCCTGGCCTGTAAATAAAATGCATCTTTTTAAGATATGCTAGAACGCAATACAGAGGTATACTGAAGCAACATACAGAGAATAAGCACCATTATTTCAATCCCAGACTACTGAATTTAAAAAGACACAAACATGCATCAATTTACAGTAATTTTATTCCATGATATATGATGTTTTATATTCATACCTTTAACAGAGTTTGTTTGCATTCCTGTAATTTGCCACATTTGAAGAGCGCCCGGGCCAAATATAACAAAACTTCAGTATTTTGATGCTTATAGAACTTTCTGAGGCAGTTTTCATACTGAAATGGAAAAAAATCAAATTAAGATGTAACAATGGTGAGTTATTTTGGTAAGTTAACGCCAGTAAATGTTTCTATTCCTAAAAAGCATTACTGCTAAGAAGCCTTCAGTTTTTTTTTAAAGAAGTGTGTCATGGTACTGGGATGCCTCCTCTTCACTGATCAGGAAATTCTTTCTGCTATGCCAGAGCAAGTACCTGATTTTTCTGGAAACAGGCAGCAGTCCAGGAGGCTCTGTAGGTCTTAAAATACAATAGAATAATACTTGGCAAGTACCATCTACTGTAACAAAGTCCAACAAACATGACTCATTTTAAGAGCACTCAATTATTCTCCACAGTATGGGGGGGAGGAAAATTTATTTTCTATATTCATACAAGATATTTTAGAAATTGAAATACATTTCATGTAGTAATTCCATTTATCTCAAGCCACTAGTTAAAAAAATCCACATCTTTCAGTTAACATAAAATTTGCTCTGTCCACCTAGCTGAATAACTTGGCACACCAAGGCATATCTAGTTGTTCTAAAGCATAAAAGAAGACTTGTTACGATATGTTTTGTGGGTGTAGGATGAAAGCTTCTAAGAGTTATGAAACTTATCCTTCTGTTTGACATACTGTTTCCTCAAGGAGTCATCCATCCTTTCTAAACCTCCAAAATAATAAATACAAAGTAATTTTTATTTCCAGCTCAAATACAGAAAATTCCCTGAACTGCCTGAAGTTGTTACTTTTGGATCACACCGTGTTGTGAGCACCCAATTTTCACTCACATTTAGAGTCAAAGATTTTGTACTTAGTTTAAGACTGCCTCGGATTTGTATGTTTTATGGTAGAGAACTCACTAGAACAATTGTTGTGGCTGCAGTAAGCTAGGCTATTAAATTCAGTTCATCTCCCTTTGAGTCCAATATCATGTATTTCAGACTGCGGCTTGTACCGACTGCATAGTAGAATGTAGGGAACAATAAAATACCCCAACAAATAACCACATTTCTACCAACAGCTTAACTTAAATATATTAGCAAACAAGTACGATATTTTTCTGACAAATCAAAAGGTGAAAATGATACCCAGTTTCACTGCTTAAACAGTTGCTAACATTAGATTTTCATTAGGCTTTTTGCCAGTAAAAACAATAAGGTGTCAAAAAGACAACAGACCCCATTCAAAACACAACAGAATGAATCTGATCTTGTAACCAAAGCTTCTTAACAGTAGTTCACTGGAGGACAGCAACTACTGAGGTCTTAGTCAGGTAAGAAAGGCCCAGTATCCCTTCCTTGTAACCATAGCCATCACAAAAAGCTTCAGCATAACTCTGAAATAAATATTTTTAAGCCTTAACATAGACTCAATCTTAATGAAACAAGTTTGTTCTCAGCTTCTGTCTTGTCCGACATATGACTTCTTTTTTTAGCTTACTTGTATGCTTTTGATCAACTAATTGAGTCAATTTAGTTAGAATAGATTGATACTTGGAAGTTAGCTTGCTTGAGAAGGTTGAACTACATGACCTCAACAGATTTCTTCCAACATGAACTACCTTGTGGTGTTAACCGTAATGAAAGAAATGATGGAACAGTCAGCTTTTCAGACATATCTGATTGTTATTCATGCAATCATTTGCAAGAACAAAAATAGGAAGTGTTGCTGTTAAAAAAATCCCAGCAGCAAATTACATTTACTTACTTCAGTAACATCTGAATGTAAATCACATACAGTAACTACACTGACTGATACCTGACTAAAAATTAATTCTGAGACCAAAATTCTAACCCAAATATGTTTAACTCTGCTACCAAAAAAAAAAAGTGTGCGAGTTGGTTGGTGCTTTGTTACCCCTTACCCACATTTGGCAGTTTGTTTTTAAAACCTAGACTTGACAACCAGCAGCACGCTAGAAATAGACCTATAGCTTGTTAAAATATTATTCAGAAACTTGCATGGCTTCTATGACAGCAGAGAAACATCCAGAAGTCATCTAACCCAACATACTATGTAGTTCAATTTAGAGATGTTACCATCTGCACAGCACTGATGTACTGTTTCTGTTCTACGTAGATATGTGCCAGATTCAGCCACACATCACTGATATCTGCTGTTGCCTCTCTTACTTGGGCAAAAACATCACGAGCTTCACGGAAATATCCTTTATGCGCCAAGACAGCTCCTAAGGGGAAAGTAATATGTACAGTGTAAGCTTCCAGGTTCAAGTACTATGTACTCCTACCAAAGAAAACAAAATATTGCCTGAATAAAGTTCCCCATTAAAAACTAAGTGACATAGCTGCCATATGAAAGCTATTCTTTCCTGAGCACCACTACATAGCGTTCAGGTCCTGCAAAAATAATTCCATACTAAAGCATGAAACATAAGAATATATTCACCGCTGAAGAAAAATGAGAGTCTAATATTCACCTATGCCATTAGCAGCATACAAATTCTTTGGATCATTTCTGAGTACTTGCTTGTAGATCGCTAATGCACGGTCTTGATGACGCTTCTCCTGCAGAAAGTAGTATCCCAATCGATCACTCATTTCTACAATGGGGTATTAAAAGATCTACCCAGAAGTTTTATGGATTATAAGATGCCAAATAGGCATCAAGAAAAGGGTCTGAGAGCATACAAAAATCAGATAAATAAAACCAGACACAGAGCAGACAGACACCATTACCTTTTCTCTGTCTCTTGTGGGTTGATGTAGAGTCTGCAACCAGACATTACCAAGAGCCAGCATGGAATAAGTATCATTTTGTGTGGAGGGCTGTTTCAATATTCTTTCAAATTTCTTCTGGCCTGGACCCCACTCTTGTTTAGCCAAGTGAAGATTGCCAATCAGAGACCAAGCATCCGGATGGTCCTAAATAAAAATCCACTGTAAGTTGCAAGGGAAAACAATGCTTTTGCAAGGTTACTTTTTCAAATATAAAATGGTATTTTTCTGAAGTAGAATTGCATAATAAAAAAACCCCAACAAACAAAACACACAGTGAGCAGATTACAGTAGGTCTCTTTTCTTCCTCTAGTTTATGTGAGCAAACAAAATAAAAGTGCAACAAAAGGAAAATAAAATTTTTAGTTATTATTTCTAATGTTTTAACTTTAAACACTTGAAGGGTTACAAACCTGATTTATCTGAAGTGCTTCTTTAAACCAATCAGAAGCCTCATAAAAATTTCCTTTATCCCTAGCCATAGCTCCCAAGCGTAAGTAGCCTAAAAATCAAAATAGAAAATAAAGTAAAAAATCAGGAAACAGGTTCAAGTCATCTCAAACAAAGAAAATATTGGCCATGCATGAATTTCAAAAGCCATCCTTTTCTTGATCCACTAAGGACAGCAAACATTAAGACACCTTTCATATTCTATTCACCATGAGACACACCATGTGAAGAGGAACATCCACCCACAATGGTGATATAGAAATTGCAAATTTCTAACAGTTAAAGTGTAAGTGTTTTTAATTGGTTTCATAAGTTAAAGACGATTAAGAAGCCTCAAAGAAAGAAGGATATAGTCAGGTACATAATTCTCCCTCCACTTTAAACAGCTCTCCCATCTCCGCAAGTTTTGGGAAGAATATCAGTTAACAGGCGACAATAGAAAACAAGCAGGGAAAAGGCTGTAGATTAGACTGGGGCATGCTGTGCGCTGCAGCTTGCTGAGCAAGGGCCACCACCTCGCCTTTGCAGCAAATCTCACAGGTCAGCTGCCTGGGGCAAGATGAGGAGCAGAGTGAGGACAGAAAAAACAGGATGTGCTATAGAAGCTGTGCAAACACCCTCAACAGCCCTTCTTCCCTGGAGCAAAGCCAAGATCCAAGAGAAAGTGATTCTCCCAAAGGGTCTCTATTTCCACCCACATAGGTAGAATTGCAGAGATTGGTCATCATATCAAGGGGATGGGCCTTGATTGCACCTGGGGGCTGAGGTGCTAGGGGTTTGGTGGGAGTGGGGAGCAAGTGAGCAAAGGCATGCAAGTCTAGATAAGCTAATTTTGCTAGATTTTTGGAGTACAGTATGATGTACCAACAATTAGAGGGCTCAGAGCTGGAGATTGGACTATAAGTATGATGCAGACCTTAAAAAAAAGGAAAAAAAGATAGGGAAAATAGCAGGTAGGTAAGCAGACTCCAAAGCTACTATGAGAAGAAGAGAAGACAGATATAAGGAGACCAGAAGACACTGTAATGGGAAGATTTTTGGTATTATAAGGAGGACTGTGGAACTGAAATACCAAATGTTTCTTACAATCAACGTAATTAGGATGTTCTCTTAAAATGTTTTTATACAGCTTTTCCGCTTCATGAAATTCACACATCGCCTCATATAGTCTGGCAAGGTTATAGGACGTTGTTACAGAGATAGCATTGTAATAATGCTCATCATGTTCAGCTTCTGCTTTTGCACGATCCAGTGATGCCAAAAAATATTTCTAAAGTATAAAAAGAAAAAAGGAATAAAGCACTCCAGAATATTCTTAAATGAAAACTTCTGGGTGATCAAGAAACTCATTTCAAACTTTTGAGTAATTACATACCTTCGCTTCTCCTAGATTTCCCAGCCTGAAGTGCAGAGCACCCACATTATTCAAAATCTCTGGTGGGACATCAGCCTGTACCTTCTCTTGCAGAATGCGTGTGGCTGTACCATAGGCTGACAGTGCACCCTTTACAAAGAAAGAAAAAGTGGATGAAAGAAATAAGAGAACGAGCTCTATGAAAAGCACGCACATAATTCACCAAGTGTATAATGATAATACCTGTATATCAGTCTGTTCTAGAATTTGAGCAAGCTCAATCCATGCCTCTACATCATCAGGATACTGTTCTGTGACTTTCTTTAGATGTCCCTGAAAAACAGCAGACAATAATTGTGCCTCTTTGTGGACACACAAACTGTTTTAAAAAAATATATAAATAAATCAAAAGAAAGACTGAAGATATTAACCTTAACACTAGAAAGATACACCACAATGCAAAAGAAAACGTCCTGAACGTCTACACAACTTGTTCCCAAAAAATTGCATTAGTTTCCTTCCTTCATTATTGTGTTTTTCTGTAGAATGCAACATCGGCTTAAAGTCTTAGAAAAGCAGAAACTATTACAACATGAGAAGCTAGAAAAGTAACGTCTAATGGTTTTTTTGCATTTATTTACTCAATATTAGATTAAAAAAGCTTTTCACTTAAAAAAAAAATCCAAAAAACCAAACAAGAAGAAACCAAAACCAAAAAAACCCCACCGCCAAACAAAAGACATTGTCCTTCCAGATAAGCTAAGGCAAGTGTTTTCTGGAAATCACTGACTAACTTGCTGTCTTCAGGAAATCATTTGCTAACTTGCCATCTTCATACAATTTTAACACATATGGGAGGAATTCTGCCTTTTTCATAGTACCAAATACAAATGTGAAGCTGGGCCTCCTAAAGTCCTGGACTTAATTTAGCAAGAGACCAGTAGGGGTCTCAATTCTGTCCAGGAGCTGTGACTCTCCACAGTTAGGAAGATCTCTCATGACAGCCAATATTAAATATTCTATACCCACAGCCAAGTAACCCTGAGGTTTATGCACCTTAATGTATAGTTTGATTTCAAGTCTGATTTTGAAGTTCTACTCTTGTATGTAAAAGTACCATACCAGCAGCGGCAAAACTCACCTTTGCAATATCCCGCTTCTCCTGGTCTTCTGAAGCCGCATAAAGAGATCCAAGGATTTTCATAGTCTCATAATTGTTAGGATAGGCTTTCAAAACTTTTTCAAAGCATTGTGATGCATTCTCTTTGTCCCCTCGATAAATGTACATTTGACCCAATCCAAAAAATGGAAGTACAAAAGAAGATGAGGCAAACTGAGTGGCCTGGTAATAATACTGGAAAGCTTGATCATAGTCTTCCTAATTAAAAAGAGGTAAATAAAGAGCAGGTAGTGTTTTCACAGGTAAGCTTCGTATGAACTTCTGTAACACAGATTAAGTGCAATCTCAAAGGAGGCTTTTAAAAAAGGTCCTACCTGTACATGAAAAGACCTAGCCAGCTGATAACAACTCTCTGCCTGCATTGCTTCAACTTCCGTATTATGGAAAGCATGAAGAGCCAAGTGTTGTACTTTACCATAGTCCTGAAAAAAGGGAAGATAAATGAAATTTGAAAGGCTTCACTTCATTAATGGTCAAGTTATTTATTATTTAAACAAGGATGGCTGGAAAATACAAGGAAGCTTAAGACATAGCACTGACTAAATTAATAAAAACAGATTTAGTTTTAGTGGTTACTGTTCTTTTCTCTATTTCATAATTTAAAGTCTGGAAGGCGGTGAGAGGGGGGAAAAAAAAAACCACACCAACCCTTCAGGACACAAAGGTGACCTTGACTTAAGAAATAAGCATACCTTTTCTTGGTGTTTTTTGGGTAAAGTTTATACAAAATTTAAGTCACAAACTTTACAGACTTGTCCATCTAGATTAACAGTTCCGTATTAGTTACCACGTAACCTGATGAAATGAGATTGAAACTAACACCTGAATCCTTGCTGTTCAGAGGTTATCAAGTATTTACCTGTAAAATTCCATAGACCTCTTACCTTCTTAAAGAAGAAGTGATTAGCCAAGTGATTCAACACCATTGGATTACTGGGATCAATTGTGTAAGCCCTGGAGAGGAGTTGAACACCATTCTTGATCGAATCGGCCTAAATAAAACATTGACAGGTATCAGCAGCATCTCAATAGCTGTATCTTATTGACATCTTCAAAACTATTCTTCAGTCTAGGCTGCCACAGGAACTCTGACAAAATCCTTGCTGGGCTCACAAAAATAAGTAAATTCAGCCACTAGCTTTTCTCCCCGCTGCATACAGATGGAAAATGGGAAATGAAGCCACCACAAGGGATGAAAAAAAGCAGAGGAGGATTTGCTATGGAAAAAAAAAAAAAAAAAAAAAAAAAAGATACTTAGACTTGGTGTCCTTTGACATTTCACGCTCATACCGTGATAGCATTCCTTCTACTGTTCTTGTCTGGTTTAGGTTCAATCTTTTACGCAATTTTTTCAACAGCAAAATGAAGACATTCTTTTGTTCAAATTCTAAACAAGAACTTCAGATGTTGAATTAAGAGCTACTAGAACTTAAATTCTAATTTAAAAAAAATGGTAGAAGTATGCTGTGTTTACATAGGGATATCATTATTGTAACTTTTTTTCTAAAGAAACTTGACAGTTTAAAGAAAGCTTTCCATGGGTACAAATCTGACTTCCCTACAAGTTCAAATCCATAACTGATAAAATAATTGCTATTTATTTGGGACATCCATGAGATTTATATCACAAGCACATCAACTTAAATCTGTATTTATTTCTGAACAGAAACACCAACAATGTTATGTAACAACTGTGCTTTATTTTGCAATTATTATCAGCAGAAAGGTATCTTATTCAACAGGTATGTCTCAACCTCATAAAACCTAAGAAGTCCAATAGGCAGCTAAAAAACATAATTTCAGTTTGAAAAGGCACTATCTTTCCACACCTAGTATAACAATATACCTTGATTAGGAGATATTGAATCATTCTTGGTTTAATTTTCAAAAGGCAAAGAGATTTTATAATCACACTACGTATATGTCCGAGTTATCCAATAATTTGAGTCTAAAGTCCAATTTCAGTCAAATCCAATTGATGGTTAGAGGTCTTAAAGCTCCTAAGCACTTTCATTAAAGAAAACCAGAGATAAGACAGACCTCAATGAGAACAAAGTGTAATCTCAACCCTGTTCTGACATCATAACATCTTCAGGGAGGGAGAAACATTAGCAACATCTAAGCACAGAAAAGATGTCAATTAGTAGTTTGCAGCTCAGAGACAATCATTCCCCCAGACAAAGTGTTCTCCCTCCCCCATGTCAACTCTTTGATGTTATACTAACTTTGCAGTGCAACTTGCAGAAACAGTTTGAAGTAAAGCAAAGGTGATACATTTCTCACAAAGAACAAAAACCATATTTGAGTGGGTCAGCTTTTAATCACGGCTTTTTGAAGCTTAGTGTGAGTGGGCTCATCCCTTGACTTTAGTCAAAAGACCTTCAGGAAAAAAAAATATAGCAGGTTTCATTAGTTTCTCGCTCAAGGAATTATTTCTTAAAACTTGACTTTAGAATATTTTTGGCTCACTCTAGTTTTAGGAAAGAAAACTCTGAAGCCCACACTTTTCAGAATTCTTCATGGAAGTCTTAATAGTTTTTTCCCCTGGATGTACTAAAACTAAGTAATTTTCAGACATTCTGTGCCAACAAAAGATCCTTCTAGAGAGCTACGTATTCTACAGATAGCATAACACCAAATTTTAACAACACACAATTATGCAAGTTTGTGGGGTTTTTTTTGAACACTTAAAGGTCCCATCCTCCACTTACAACTTCCTTAGCATGGACTAACTATCTCAGACCTCATGATCCCAATGAAGCTACATGACCATATGTATTTTTCTAGTGATACAACACCTAGAAAGATAAGTTCAGCACTTTATCATTGTTTCGTCTGCCTAGTTAAAATTTTTTCTTGCCTACTCTTTGGTTTACCATGTTTCGTGTGTGCCAAGGTAGCTTGGATACAACTTCAACACTTGTTTGAAAGCTTATGTTCCTTATAGCCTAGGACTAGTCTCATGAAGCTATGTCTTTTACCTTGACTTACCTGTTCGCGTCATGCTCTTTCAAAACAAACATTCCTGATGCTCTGGAATAAAGCTAGCATTGCAAGTGAGGTTTCCAAGGATTGAGGACTTTCAGAGCATCCTGAGTACAAACCAATTTAGTTAACCTTCACAGAGTCACTAATGACTAAGTAAGGCTCGCTATTACACATATAACTGTTGCTCATTAAAGTAAGATTTTGAAATCAGCACTTTTGATTCTTCTAAGTGATCAGACATGCATTCTCACATCTCACCATGAATTTTTATTATTTTAATTAAAATAGTTAACCTAGCACTGTTTTTCTGTATTTAACACCTCTATAAGCAACAGAGTTGAAGCCTTCTAGCAACAGAAGAAATTTATTCAGAATGTGCTGCCCACATCACAAGTACATATCTATAAAATCATTCAATAGTGACACAGACTTAAAATGATTTAACCACAAAAGTTATTGCCCCTTTTAAATACTGGACTACATTTCAAAGGATAAAAAGTTAGCTTTTTCAGCCAAGAAGAAAGTAAACTACATATGGATTCTTATTGAGTCACTCACCTCTTTATTATTGAGTTCCAGAACAGCCAGTCCAACCAAAGCCCCTAACGCTAAGCGAGCTTTTTCCAGCTTGTTCAGTTTCACGAAGCAGTGGCCCATACCTAATCGAACCTCAGCTAGAGAACAAGATGACACCATTCAGAATCCCAAAATTTCAATTTCATGACTTTTTCACATCCTGGCCATCAATTAACATGAAAGCAGTATTTTTAATATTTCTTTAAAACTCCTAAGCCATGTAATGATTTGCTGTTTTTAAAGGCAGCCTCCCACACTTGGCAGCAAAACTAACTTCAACAGATTAGTAACACTTTATTTCTTCAGACAGCCCAGAATATTAGTCTGTATTTCCAAAAGACTCTGACACTAAACAAAAAATTACTTTTATGGAAACATACTAAAAAATAATAGAGGAAGGCCTTAAAAATTGCCAGATGAAAGGGCTGGGAATTTCTTAGGCGGGTTAAGTTCACTTGAGACTAGTAGGTCTTCAGTGAACACAGACAAATAGACAAGTTAGCTGGACACTTCTCCTCAAATGATCAACTGATTCACTGCTAACAAAATGCTGTTTATCATCCTCTAACTTCCATAATCATATACAAATGAGCTAATATAGAAAATTCACATCATATTGCCCTTTCAAACTGCCTGTGAACTAGGAATACAAAGAAATTTATATACAGCAGTTTCAAATCTACATGCCTGTGAAAAAGGGGGAGTAAATGAAAGATGTTTGTTGAAAAGTAAGGCTTGCATTTCTAAATCCTCTTTTGCAGCAAAGATTCTTATGCTAAACCAGACTAAAGAACACACATCAACTCTGTAATAAATTCTTTTTCAGATGGGTTACAGCAAGGTATACCACATATCTCAAGAGACTTTAGAATATTTATGATCCTAATGCAAATACCCTGAACTAACATCCCTAAATCACTTGCATCACGAAAGTCATATACCACCAGGAAAACTCATATAATGCATTATAGATAGAATTTTACTTCTCATGTCTTGTTTCATTATTAATGCTAAAATATCATTTTCTTAACATTTATTCCAAAAGCTCACAGATAGGTTCTGCAACAGTCTTGAGTGTTTCCCCACCCTCCCCATACAATTTTAACTGCTCTTACATGCAACTTCTCCAGGCAGGGTGCTGGAGCTCGGTCAGAAGTACCAGTGAACCATGGTGTCCACCTGACAGAAAACCAATGCCTTTCCAAGCTCTGCACCAGCTACAACTGATGCAGCTTCCCAGACAGAGCTCCAGTGGGTGCATGCGGCCACCCAGATGTCAGGCTGCAGGGTGTGCATCTCGCACTGGTTTCAGACACCAGTGGTGAGTTCACCTGGGGGAGGTGCGCTTGGGTGGAGGAACTCCTCCATTTGGTGACAGAACTCCAAGAGGAAGTGAGCAGGTTGAGGACTATCAGGGAGTGTGAGAGGGAGACTGACTACTAGAATAACACCCTATGCTCCCTGTCTCAGGCCCAACCGGCAGGTATGCAGAAAGAAAAAAAAAAAAAAAGAGAAAATTAGAAGGGCTAAAGGACAAGTAGACCTTAAAATGGTCAATTCTGTTAAAGATAATAAACAATGTTTCTACAAATATATTAACAAAAGGGGAGCCAAGGAGAATCTCCATCCTTTACTGGATGCAAGGGGAACCATAGTGACAAAGGATGAGGTTAAGGCTGAGGTACTTAAGCCTTCTTTGCATCAGTCCTTAACAGTAAGGTGAGCTGTTCTCCAGATACCCAGCCCCCTGAACCAAAAGACAGGGACACAGAGCAGAACAAAGCTCCCATGATCCAAGAGGAAATGGTTAGTGACCTGCTTGCCCAATTAGACACACACACGTCTATGGGGCCATACGGGGTCCATCCAAGAGTACTGAGGGAGCTGGCAGAGGTGCTCATCTATCAGCAGTCCTGGATGACTGGGGAAGTTCCACTTGACTAGAGGTTGGCAAATGTGATGCCTGTTTACAAGAAGGGCTGGAAGGAGGATCCGGGGAACTATAGGCTTGTCAGCCTGACCTTGGTGCCTGGGAAGGTCAGGGAGCAGATCATCTTGAGTACCATCACACAGCACGTCCAGGACAGCTAGATCAGGCCCAGTCAACATGGGTTTGTGAAAGGCAGATGCTGCTTGTCTAACCTGATCTCCTATGACAAGGTGACCCGCTTAGGGGACAAGGGAAAGGCTGTGGATGTAGTCTACCGGGACTTCAATAAAGCCTTTGACACTGTTTCCCACAGCATTCTGCTTGAGAAACTGGCTGCCCATGGCCTGGACAAGCATGTGCTTTGTCAGGTAAAAAGCTGGCTGGATGGCCGGGCCCAAAGTGTGGTGGTGAATGGAGTTAAATCCAACTGGCATCCAGTCACAAGCAGTATTCCCCAGGGCTCAGTGTTGGGGCCAGTTCTGTTTTTTAACATCTTTATCAACGACCTAGACAAGAGAATTGAGTGTACCCTGAACAAGCTTGCAGATAACACTAAGCTGGGGGGAAGTGTTGATCTGCCTGAGGGTAGGAAGGCTCTACAGAGGAACCTGAACAGGCTGGATCAATGGGCTGGATCAGTTGTATGAGGTTCAACAAGGCTCAGTGCCAGGTCCCGTACTTGGGTCACAACAATCCCATGCAACGCTACAGGCGTGGGGAAGAGTGGCTGGAAAGCTGCCCAGCAGAAAAGGACCTGGGGACACTGGTCAACAGCCAGGTCGAATAGGAGCCAGCAGTGTGCCCAGGTGGCCAAGGCAGCCAATAGCATCCTAGCTTGTATCAGAAAACAGTGTGGCCAGCAGGAGCAGGGAAGTCAGCCTTCCCCTGTAGTCAGCACTGGTGAGGCCACACCTTGAATACTGTGTTCAGTTTTGGGCCCCCCACTACAAGAAAGACATCGAGTCACTGGAGTGCGTCCAAAGAAGGGCGGAGTTGGTGAAGGGTCTGGAGCACAAGTCTCATGAGGAGTGGCTCAGGGAACTGGGGTTGTTTAGCCTGGAGAAGAAGAGGCTGAGAGGAGACCTTATCACTCTCTACAGCTACCTGAAAGGAGGTTGTAGTGAGGCAGGTGTTGATTTCTTCTCCCAAGTAACAAGCGACAGGACGAGAGGAAATGGCCTGAAGTTGTGCCGGGGAGGTTTAGATTGGATATTAGGAAAAATTTCTTTACTGAAAGAGTGGTCAAACATTGGAACAGGCTGCCCAGATGTTAGTGGAGTTGCCATCCCTGAAGGTATTTAAAAGATGGGTAGATGAGGTACTTAGAAACATGATTTAGTAGTGGACAGGTACAGCTGGACACAATCTTAAAGGTCTTATCCAACCAAGTTATTCTATGATTCTATGATTTTCTAACAGATCTTTAAAAGGTAATAATTAGGAAAAAATGAAAAGTATTTTCCTAGACAGAATTTCCTTATCTAACAATTAAGGAACACTACAAGTCAACAAACAGCTGAACTCTTCTGTAATGAGGGATGGAGGTTTTTTTGACAGATACAGATCACAAAGAAGCCTGTAGGTATTCGAATTAGGAAGACTTGAGTTAGTTTGCAAGCACAGCAAATACTTCCACTAGCAAATACTTCCTGTCTTACCTGGGCAACCTGGATTGGTACGCAATGCTTTCTTGTAGTAGGCAAGGGCTCCTCTATAATCCTTCTTGTTGAAAGAAATGCATGCTTTACCTGTTACAACATACCAGTTAAAATAAATTGGAAATATAAACAAAGCAGTTATAAATCAGAAGCTCATAAGTATTATTGTGCTGTGCTGATTTTCAAAAGTTACAATTAAAAAATAATCAAAAATTCAGACAACTACAACTCCTATTGTCTTTGAAGACACCAAGTGTATGAAAGAAAATCAAGCATAGGAACACATTAAATTTACATTTTCATGATTTTCTGCAGAAACTTAATTCTTTCCTGGTCCAGAGGAAAGCCACTTGGCTAAGACCAGATTAGTGAACAAATTAAAATGCAAGTGTTACAGCCCACTGACCCCTCACTACTGGTATCTTCACCTTCAATACAGTATACCACTTGATTGGTATCATTAGGGAAATACAAGTAGTTGGACCAGACGTATGCTCACGGGTCTCAGAGGATGCTAGCTAGCATTGTACTTTTTCCTAGCTTTTCCACCTACATATACTTTCCAAGTTTAAAGTAATCTCTGTCAAAAGTTCACACTTCTTCAACTGATTGTTTCTCTCTACTCATGTATGCACTCTCTTCTTAAGCACATATTTCATTTTAAAACAACTGGAGAGACCAGGCTTTTTACATAAATACCCATAAACTCATACCAAGAAGGGCAGGAATATTATTTGGAGACTGGTTGAGCACAAAATGGAATTGTGCATCAGCTTGGTCCATCTTATCACCTTCAAGCAGACAAAAGCAGGCTCTTCCCAACAAGTGATTCTAGAAAAGGAAAAAAGTTTCCACTACATTTATCTTTGTAAAATATAAAGATTAGACTACATGGAAGATTAAATGGCAATGCTATAACGCTGTCTATGGTTAATTTATTCCTCTTGTATCAGGATGAAAAAAATCAAGAAAGGTCTTGATCATCCATGTCTGAAGTTCACATATTATCAAGCAACAAAGTAACAACCAATCCTTCTTTCCCAAACCCCAGATAATTATTCCTAGTGGCACCGCACACATTTGAGATACTTCCAAGCTTTACTTATATGTACCGCGCTAATAGACTTCAAAATCTGAGCAGTTTCTATCTTCCCTTTAGTGAATCAATACTTGTTTTCTTTAGAATCACTTTGAATTCGCACAGAAAACATGTTGAAAATAAGTTAAAAAATAAAAATCATTAAATAATTTGCAAATATGAATTTTTTAAACCAATTTTGGTTTTTACCTGATCATACATGATAATTTTGTCAGCCATAGTATACAACAAGGTAGCTTGTGTAATGAGCTCCTTCTTGTTATCTTTGTTCTTCTCCTTTCGGGCCTGCTGTACATAGTATGCTGCCAGAGTATCCAGACATGTCATCTGATCTTTTTCATGGTCTCTGTAGTCCAAGTTACCATCTATGCGTGCAGCTTCCAACAGCTTCACAAAGTCTTCTGTTTTTCCTTGTTTGTAGTATTCCAGCTATAAAACATAAAGTTTTAACAGACAGTACTACCCCAGTGAGTAAGTAACATATCAAGTTGATACTTTTGCTGTCACAGATTCTTTTTCCAGAATATAAAGATAAATGTAAGGATAATCAGACAAAAGCATTCCAATATCACCAAGTATTTTTCTATCATCATCCCAACTTATATTTTCCATTTCACAGCTATTCATCAGTGAAGAATCAACTGGTTTTCCTCTGAACTTCTTTGACTTTTTGCAAATTTCACCATACTTTCCATAGCATAGATACTGTCCCCTCCTTTTCTACGAACTGCATAATCAAAGGCACAAACCAGAAAAACTATGGATTCAGAAAAACACACCTATAAAGCAGGCTTCAAGCATCACTGTTTCATGAAAAAAGATGAACTTAAAAACTTACTATGCATATGCCAAATCAGAAATATCTGGCCTAGAATCAGTGACCGAATAACCCATTTCAGTTCCTGTTCAGAATTCAGTTATCCCTAGCCATAAAAGTAAGGAAGTGGAAATTATTATGCGATTATCTGAATATTTAAATATACAAGTTTTATATATACGAACCGCTAAGGCAATCCATATGTGCAGTTGAGTGTGTTCCTGTTTCAGTATACTTATAACTTCATCACCCTCAGGTAACTGATCAAAGTCAAGCTCAATAACCTAGAAACAAACAACACAGATTTTCTTTTCACAAAGCATTAACAACATTATCTATCATCGAGCTCAAAGCAAGCTGGACATTTCAGAGCACAAAATATAAATAATTCTTTGTGTTTAAACAAGGTTATGGACAAAGAAGCAATGATGTATTTTATTCTGTACAAGACAAAAATTATGGTCTAACAAAGACATATATTTGGGATACTAGTCAGGGAGAATAAACAGAGATGCTAATTCAACTTCTTTCATCATATACTTCAGGTTCAGAATTTTTACAGTTCAGCTAACAACCAACCTGACTGCACACTGCTAAATTTCTAAAACTTTTCCTACAGGTATCATAAGATACAGTCAAAATCTTCCAAATAATCAGGTGTCAGAGAATCAATATCTCAGACTTATCTCAGAGGCCTGAAATTTTGTTAAATCATCTTTATGCCCAAGAAAACTATGAAACTATTGAAGTGACAAACATGATAAAGAACAGACTAAATTTCTGAATATTAACAGCCATAGTCAACATGAGCAAGTAACATCAACAACTTTTCACCATGCATGCCTTATTTTGCAAGTACTATTTCGCCATGTTGATCTACTCTTTGGATACAGAAAATTAGTAAAAAGGAACAGATATTCCCAAGATGAGACATTTGAGAACACAATTTAATTGCCTATTAGTTCACTTGCTACTCAGTCATGCTGCCTTTAGCATTAGTCATTTACATTACAATTTAATTTTACAGCAAGGAAGAACTGCAGTTGTTGTAACCAGGCTTGTACCCGAATTACCAATACAGGGACTCTTTCTCCAAAGACTGGATTAGAGCAATCCAGTTTATAAGGACATACAGTTTTGATTATGCAAAACTTATGAGAGCACCAGCGGAAATATTTTTGCTATGATTGTTATTTTTAGTTTGAGATTGTCTTGCACAGTACCTCTTGTTTGACAGATAATAAATGTTTTTAAATTTGGGCAACCCTCATCTACAAACTAAAATAGCTATTAATGAGAAATAGATGATAGAAGATAGCAAATAAATAAGGAAGTACAAAAAGGCAGTAAAAAAAAATTATTTTATAGCAATCTTAGTTATTAATTCAGAACTTCAGGATCCAACTAGTCTTAGCCATAACTTCAACAGCAGCACCCAGATCACTTATGTATGTTGACAGTTCAGACAGAAGTTTCTGTCACAAAGAACAAAGCCTTCTGACATATAACCTACAGAAAGCAAAAGTACTTTTTATGAGACTTAAAAACACAATGGTAATTGTATGGAAATTTGTTGCAGTATGGACACAAAAGCTTTTTTCAAGCTATAAGCAGTATGTTTCGATATCTTATTTAGCTGAGGTGTTAATTTAGTATCTGCTATGGAATATTTTATCTTCAAACTCTAGAATACCCTGTAAATTTCCAAATACTTCTCTCAAATCTTTCTAACCTTGGCCTCCAACTGTCTACTTTAAATAAAGAAAAGTTAAATAAATTTCTAAACCCACACTGAAATAACTTACAGAGTGGACCAACTGCCCTACCTGTGTCTACATGCTGATTTAGGAACTTGCATACTGTTTACAAATCAGTGCAGGCAGAAAAATCAGTGTCTAACTAACTAAGGAGAGAATTTAGCTGGACAAGGCCACCGTGCACAATCACAAACTAAAGACTAGATACTGTTCCCAACAGGGTCTTCACTCCTGTAAGCTACATATGCTTGAATATGTGGGAGAAGAGACTGCCCCTTCTTCACAAACGCGTGGTACCGAAGGACGCCGGACAGACTGCCTGACTGTTCCCAGCAAGGACAGGGAGGTTACAGCTAGCAGAGGGCAGGCACCGTTCACCGAGGGGCACCGGCGAAAGCAGGCTTGGGTTCTTTCCGCAAAGCGATACTCCTGCAACCCCAGACAACTCATTCTGCTAAGGGAAGAGAGCGACACTCCCCCGTCGCGCCCGGGACAAAACTACGAGAGGAAGCGACAAGCGCCCGCGCCCCGGCGCGCACCCCTTCCTTCCCCCTCCCTGGGACCAGCCCCCCCCGCCGCCTCCCAGCCCCCGA